CCCCCCCCTAAATCCGCCCCTGTATACACTATAGCAAACATACACTGATGAATCACTACAGTATATTGTTTATCTTAATTGTCTATTCAAATGTACCGACATGTAACAAACAGATTGTCCTATATTCTGCCTAACACTCTACATTCTTTTTGTCTGGGTCGCATTTGGCTCTAGTAATTCCATGGAAAACATTGTAACCTAAAAATAAAAAATTACTGAAAAGTATGGTATACACTATAGCGAACATACACTGATGAATCACTACAGTATATTGTTTATCTTAATTGTCAATTCAAATGTACCGACATGTAACAAACAGATTGTCCTATATTCTGCCTAACACTCTACATTCTTTTTGTCTGGGTGACCTTTCACCAAGAGTGTTAAAAAGTGTTTTGTCTGACTGTCCTTTGAATTAGGGAATGCAATGAGTGTGACTTGTCTGACTAACCTTTGACATAGGAAATGCAAGGAGTGTGTTTTGATGACTGACATTTGACCTAGGGAATGCAAGGAGTGTGTTTTGTCTAACCTTTGACCTAGGGAATGCAAGGAGTGTGTTTTGTCTGACTGTGCTGCCGTCACATACTCCTTCTGACATCCTAGGTTGCTATGAATGTCTTCCAAACACTGGTAATCTTGGACAGCATCAATGTAACTTGATAAATCATCATTTAAAAGGGCCAATGCAGCAAGCATGTCATCTCTATAAAAGCAATTTAAATCATTGTTTAAGATTAGTGCATGGATTCTACTGTGCTTTAAGTTAAGAGAGGCCCAGCCTGATTAGCTGTGTCTCTTGTACAATGCAACAAGTATGTACATAGCTAAGCTTACTTATATATTTAGAATATTCAAATACCTGTTTTTAAACCATGACCCTTTAACCTCAGCCACATGTGATGAAAATAAACTCATTGTAATCTCTCTCTGCATTTCTCTTTTACTTTGTCCCCTGTCAGCCACTACTGGGTTCATGAGACCTCCACCATAGAAGGCACTTGCAAAGCCGCCCTCATTACCAGTCGTCCAATCAACAAGAGGATCATACACAAACGCTTCTAACAATGTTAGTAGAGTCTCGCGTCCTTTTCTCATTATTTTTAAAACTTCTTCAGATGAATGTTTGAAAAGACCCTACAAAATATTAAATAATGGTCTTAGGTTATTGTACAGCCATGAGTATTAAGTGATAGTTGTATGTTATTGTATAACCATGAATATTATTTTCACCCATATCCAGGAAACAAATATATTAAACGATCCCTCCACATGAAAGAAGTCTGGCCCTCCAACCATCTCAATGGAAAGATCTGGCTGCCTACTATTTTAATCCTTCCATCAGAAAAGGTCTGGCCTGCTTCTATCAGCTTAAGATAGATAAGATACCTTGTAGGAGTTAACAGATTTAGAATTAAATTGAGAAGTGGTGAATTACATGCTTAGCTTGATATACTTCTCTGGCAAACAGAGGAGGTTGCAAATTGCAGACAATTTATTCTGTATCTATTGACCAGGAGAAAAATGTTAAGTATCGTTAAAAAGCACTATATAAATCCAAGATAACTTTCTTTAATTAATTGAATTTCCTATGGATAGCTAACCTCAATGCCAGTAACCCCAAGTGCTTGCTCCACATTCTGGGTCATCCTGAATGGAACACGCTCTGGTACTCTCAAATTCTTTCCTTTCTCAAATGATACATTGTAATCAATATGAACCACCTGTAACATTAAATAAGCAAATGATTCATTCATTATGAACCATTGCACAATTAAACATGCAAATTATTCATTCTCCACAAATATTTTTAATATTT